GTGAATTGAAAGGTGTGTTTGTTTATATAGTGCATGATGAAAATGGATGAGACTTGAAAATGTCCATGCACAGGAATTTGACTGTTGACTCCGAGGGTATTGAAGAGGATTATTAATTAGGAAAATTGAAATGGTCTTTGGGAGAAAGAGAATGGAAACTATGAATTAAAAAATAAAAATAAAAAAATGGTTAGTTTAATCTTACTTTGATAATTAATGTTTTGGCATAATTAACAAAATATAATCTTTTATCATATAAAGAAAAGAAATAATCGAAATCGATCAGTCTAACAATTAGGGCGCTGCCTAACAGCAATATTCGCGCACGACATGTGCGACGAGCTCGATAATCGTGAGGACGAAAGTCAAATTTGAGGCCTTATTAATTTTAACCTTTATTATTATTATTATTATTATTATTATTATTATTATTATTATTATTATTATTATTAAGCGAGAATTTTTCTCTTTAATGTGTATGCTTTTAGGGACATTGACACGTTTAAAAATTTTTTCAAGTCTCAACTTCTGACCTGAAAATCGCAGTTCACATATGAAATTAGCGTGTGTATTGGGTACCACGTTTCTTGATACAAAATTGAAACCGTGAGTCATAATTTTATGACTTAAACCTAATTTTATATCTATTCGATCAATTTGGGCCGAAATTAATGTTGAAGAATTACAATTTTCTATTCGTTTGATTGAAAATAGATTTCTTCGTGTAGAATAAACAACGTTAAAGAATTCCATTTTTTTTTTCTTTATCTAATTGGGAAGTTCGAATATTTTTGTTTGGCCGAGCTTGAACTCTTAAATCTCGATCTCGATAATTTATCGAATAACTTTAAAAAAATTCTATTTGCGAACTTTAGCCTGACTTGTTGACTAAATTAGTTTTAAATGAGCTTAAATTCAACTTGTTTATCAACAAATCAAGTCGAGTTCACGAGCGAGTTGTTTCGTTTATTCAATTTACTCGTGAAAGACGGCTCTGTTTGACAGGGTATTATTATTATTATTATTTTCTTAAATATTTCCGGGCAGTTCGGAATAGCTCAACTAGCATTATTAGATTGAATAATTAAGAATATATAAGAAAAAAAAGTCAAAATACTTCTTCAGGTTTGTCTGTTGACTTTGGAATTGGAAATGAGACTGGAAAAAAGGGACAATTTTGTAATCCACTAATCTGTTACCCAATTTTTTTGAATATTAATAGACACAACAGTTAAATACGCATGATCTGGGAAAAATAATGCAAATAAATACAAAATAATAATATTCTACAATATATATAAATATGCATTAATGCATTATTCTTCAAAAGTAATGAAGGGCGATTCATCACTATTAAGTTGTCTTATACAAAAATTTGTGAATTGATATTGTACCAAAAAATAAAAAATAAAAAATAAAAAAATTGTGGGTTGGTGACACAAGAGTTGGTGTGAAACTACCTAGCATAAAAAACTTTTTTTTCTCTTTTTAATTCAAAAATAGAGTTGGTATAATGTTGGTAATTAAAATTAGAGGGGCTATTGTCTTGTAGTTAAGTCCAAACTATACATTGTGTGCATAAACTGATCTATTAATTGATCTATTAATACTCTCCGAAGACCTTTTAATTCATTCGTTGTTTTCGCTTTTGATTTTTATGCTTAAACACTTATTGTGTACTCTACATACTCCCTCAAAACATTTTATACAGAAATTGATGTGACGAGGGGCGGAGCTAGGGGTGGCTCACTCGGGCTCTAGCCCGGTCTTTATTTTTTGTCTTTTCTAAATTTGTAGTAGTAAAAAAAAATATTTTAGCCCATGTTTTATTACGTTAATTCATGATAAAATTATTTAGTCCATATTCATTTAAAATCATTTCATCCTTTTCATATGTATTTTTCTGTAATTATAGCTTATTATGTCATTTTTTTTCTTTGTTTTTATTTTTTAATGTTTGGTTTCATTAAGACTCGATTAATTTATATGTAAATATATCAATTGTTTGTTAACTTTAAAATAAATTATATTTGAATATGTGAAATATATAATAATAAATTATAGTTGAATATGTGAAATATATAATTCGATTTCATTAATTCTATTTTTCCTTTGCCAACTCAAGATGAATTAATCATTTGCATAGCATATCAATGAAACGACATTTAGAATTCCATAATTTAAGTGAAATATCATGTAACATATATGTTGGGTTAACATGCCTATTCAATACCATGACATTTAAACTTCCAAAATTTAAGTGAAAAATCATATTATAACAAGCATGTTGGATTGACTTGCCTTATAAAACGTTCATCTCATAGTAGTATTTGAAATAAGTTATATTATTTTTATAAGTCACAATTTAGTAAGCAATAAAAAATTACGCGGCAGTACTATTTTTTGAATAAAACTGAAGAAAAAATTACTATATCAAAAAAAAAATGTATAAATTTGTGTAAAATGCAATAGATATTCGTATAAATACGCCCAAAAAAAATAGCATAAGGTGTTTTTCATTTAGTAAAACAACATGACATATTTTTTATAATTTATTTTTCATTCGTTTCGTAAAATCATACTTAGGGCTGTAAACGAGTCGAGCCGAGCTCGAGCTTATGGTGTTTGAGCTCGAGCTCGAGCTCTTAACGAGTCGAGCCGAGCTCGGCTCGTTAAGTAAACGAGCCAAAAATCAAGCTCGAGCTCGGCTCGTTAAGGCCTCGAGCTCGAGCCTTAACGAGCCGATCTCGAGCTTTAAAGAACCGAACTATAAAAAATTACATAAATTTTACTTTTCGAGCCTTAACGAGCCTTATCGAGCCGAGCCGAGCTCGGCTCGTTAACCAAACGAGCTTTAAATGAGCTCGAGCTCGGCCCGTTAAGGCTTCCAGCTCGAGCCGAACCGAGCCTTAACGAGCCGAGCTCGAGCCGAGCCGAGCCAGGCTCGTTTAATTTAACAGCACTAATCATACTTTGAATTTTTAACATAATAGTACTAATATTATTGAAGCCCAATTGAGTCGAGTGCATCGCGGTCAAACTTGCGCTCGTTTCATAAATGAACATATTTTTTTCGAAACATCTAATAAATCGAGTGTAATTAAGTAAACTCCGCTCGTTTTAATTAAATTTTTATTTTATGTTTTATTATATGAATTAATCAAGATTAACTTTTTACGAACCGAGTTGTACTCCCTAACTGCAAATCGGTTTCTTGCTACGCCCTGGATGTGACTGCAAAATGTTCATGCACATAAATTGGAATGTTGACGTTTTGAGTGGGTTAAAGAAAATTGAAATGTTCTTCATGAGAGAGAATGGATACTTTGATAATATAAACAGGGGCGAAACTACACCATGTAAGAATATGTGGCCCGAAAGCATTGGGCTCGCATTTAATTATCCTATTGGGCCAGACCTTATTTAATAGTCAAACATATCTAAGCCATTAATCTGGATATTTGATGGACGTACCAGATCTAAAGACACCCCTATATAAATTAGTCCTCTCTCCTCCTATTAGGGTACGCAGTATTTTCCCATCAGTTTTTCTGCTACGTTAAGAGAAGGTCAGGAGGGAGAAACTGATTTAGTTCTAACAATCAATCAAGCTCTTGTGATCATCAAGATCAAGATCACTAATTATGTCGTCTTCCGCTTCAAGTAAGTATTTCGTATACACCAATTATTTATTCAAGATCCTTGATGAAGTTTACATGTGGTATCAGAGCATGTGTTGTGAATAAATAATTGATGTGTATTTTATGGTTGATTATGTGTTTGATCGATTTATCATCGATTATCTGATGATGATGTTGAATATGTGATTTATTTTAATCGGCCTCCGATCAAATCTTGAAGTTCAAATATTCTACAGTAATTATGTTTGCGTATTATGCCTGGACTGTAGTATGTGCATAGAGTTGATGTTCCTGTGATATGATTCCAAATTATGAAACCTGAATATATTTTATTCCTTAAGCGACCAACACATGAATTAATTATGTAGCTTACCGCATGATTTACTCATGTTATTATGTATTCGCTGTTGGTCCGTTTTGGATTTTCATCATCAATTTGCAGAAGGTTTAATGATGCTTATTTTTATTATATGACATTAAGATAAAATTAATTTGTTAGTCATCAAAGTGACCTAATTAATTTTTAATGTCCGGTCATATAATATTATTGTTATCATTTGTTGTTATATGATATTATGGCAAAATAAATTAGTTAGTCACCAAAGTGGCCTAATTAATTTTTAATGTTCGGTCATATACTTTTATCGTTATGAATGTTTATTATATGACATTAAGACAAAATTAATTTGTTAGTCACCAAAGTGGCCTAATTAATTTTTAATGCCCGGTCATATAATATTATTGTTACAACTGTTTATATGACATTAAGTGAAAATTGATTTGTTAGTCACCAAAGTGGCCGGATTAATTTTCTAATGTTTGGTCATATAATTTATGTTCTCTCGAGAATGTCATTATTTAAGATAATGAGTTTATTGGTTGTTAGAAATTATGGATTTACCCAAAGGTGAATCAATGTTCTATAACTANNCTCCCTCCGCTTTTGATCGGGCTCCTCCTCGCGTTTATGCTCTGTCCGCTGCTCTCCTTTTCTTTTCTCTGTTATGCGTATTGTCGGCGGCTCTCTCCTCTCTGCGTGAATATCCCTCCTCCCAGGT